ACAAGATGCTGGAGCAGCAGGAGAAGATCCGGGAGCAGGAGGTGAGGCTACGGGAGCTGAAGGAGACGCTATAGGAAATGCGGTGGAAGGCCGAGCTCTAGGGCAGCAGGCACAGGCGTGTGCAAACCCTGGACACCATGTAGGTCGACCTCATCACAACTTGGCAGGTGGTGGCTGGCTCCCTCTGCTTTTCCACCAGTCTGTGGCCTACAGTTTAAATGGTGGGAAGAAGGGTGTGAGATTTGAAGCTGGGGAGGGAGTCACTTAGCCCTGGAGCAAGGGGCCAGGGGCTTGTGCAGGTGACAGAGCCCCACAGTGTTCTGGCTACATTATAGGCTTAGAATCTGGAAGCTAGCCAGTACCTGCCCTGATGCCTATCCTGCTGGTAGAGCTGAAGAGGCTCAGAGTCTACATCAGCAGAAGCCAGACTAGTTCCTGGGTCTCCTGCAGCAGTACGTGGCCACCTCTCAGCAGCTGACCTTTGACAAGGAGGTGCTGCGCAGCCAGTTACTGCTGCAGGTTCAGCTTGTGGACCAGCTGCAGCAGCAGGAAGCTCAGGGCAAAGCTCTGGCCAAGGTGGCACCAACAGCTGCAGGAGACCTAAATGAGGGAGTTGCTGAAGGCAGGGCCCTGAGGGGGACAGCCTGGCAACCTCCTGCCTTCTCACTCTCTTTCCTGGCCCCTTAGGAGCACGTGGAAGCTGCCATCCAGAACCAGCACCTACAGGCGCAGTTCAGCCTCATGGCTCTCCCTCAGGAAGGTAGGGGAAGAGCACTCAGAGGAAGAGGAGAGAGCCCCCAGGAAGAACGGGGAACCGTTGGCAGCGTAGGATTGAGGAGTTGGAAGAGACCTTTAGACCAGCTGGTCATTGTGCCGACTGGATGTCTGCACTAAGTTCAGCATCAATATAGTGACTCCTGGGAGTGGGGGAGCACCAGGGTTGCCTACGGATGGGTGAACTGGCTCAGGTCAGAACTCCCCGTGCTGATTGGTAGTAGTGGGATTCCAGCTGGGCAACATAGTGAGACCTTGGCTCTTCAAAAAAATACGAAGAACAGCTGCTCTTTTCCCTCTGGGGAGGGGCTGGCCCAGGGTTACAGAGTGAGGGTGGGGGCAGAGGTGGGCCCACTGTTACCTTCCTTGTTGCGTTGCTGAGGGCTCCTCTGACCACCCCGCATAGGAGATGGACGGGACAGGGAGGAGGAGGAGGTGCTTCGGCCCATGAGCAGCATCCTGGAAGACCTGGAGAGCCGAGAGGCCGTGGTGAGTCTGACTCCCCATTCCCATATTTACTGCATGCCACAGTGGTCCCTCCCAGACACCCTTATGCTCTTGGTTTCCTGCCTTCTGATTTCTGCAGGTGGGGTGGGCACCAGCGTGGCAGCTGAGCACCCTTCCCTCCAGGTGGAGCTGGTGTTGCATCTTGCCAGCCACCAAGACCAGGGACATGAGGGATTGCTGTCAGCTGCCCAGAACCCTAATGATGAGAAACCCTGTCCCTACTAAAAATACAAAATTAGCCAGGCGCGATGGTGCATGGCAGCAGTCCCAGCTACTCAGGAGGCTGAGGCAGG